AGGGTTGCCTAGTAACAAATGCATTCTGTGCAGAGTGAGTTGTAGATAACGTCCTATATAGAATCTTCAAAACTGTATTAGTAATTGCATTTTTACTATGTACTTAGGTTTTGCAATTTCACTGTTTTTTTCCATTTCTGTTCTTAAAACTAGACAACTGCACCTATGAGGACTTATTGACAATTTAACTCTTTCATTACTAGCAAACAACAAACAAATAAACACTGGTGAAGCATTCTAACAAACTTCCTGCTTAGTAATTTGGAAGCATTAATTTTTTTTTTTAATGTTCTGAGCCCAACTCAATTGTTTTTCCATTTCTTTTTCTCATTTTTTTTGGATCAAGAGCACAGATCCTGTGAGCCATTCTGTGGGTAGGATAGTATCCAACTAATAACTAATGTGAACCCATATATGTAGTACTTCAATATTACTACCACTGAATAGGGGACCTAATTTAAGGTTCATCTTCTTGCACATCTGCACTAAAAGCTAAGACATGCTTGTGTCTAATTTTCCGAGTATCTTGTCTGTAGTGTATATCTGAAGGGCATAAAGACTGACTGCAGAGGGTGTGTTGAACTGATCCTGGGTCATCTGAATATCAGATTAATTTCTAACCAGCAGACAATTCTTCAAAGATTAAAATGTGTAAACTTGTCTGCTGCGCTTAATTCTGTGCTCAAGTTGAACAATCAGAGGTACGATTTCCAGCTTGATTGTAATTCATTCTGTGAATGTGATATTTTAATATATGGAAATGGGAAGGCTGCCAAGATGACAAAGTTCAGGAAGAACTTTAGAAGTCAGATAAAAGAGTATCTCTATGCACACACTGTATGCTCTCAAGTGGTGGCTGTAATGCAACGATATGCAAATCTAAAAACCTACTAGAAGGAAATGATCCTGCTGTGATCAATTTACAGTCCAGAGAAGCACTTCCCATACCTGATCCTTTATCATTTACAGCGAAAACGCAGATGATGCTTGCGTGGAAATCGATACTGGGATAACTATCTCCTGATTATTTTCTCTGCATACATGGAATTTCATGGTGTGGTAATTGTGTTCTGTGAATGCTGTCAATTCTCCACATGCCATCAAGAATATTTCTGAATTAGATATACTAGTTAGACATGTCAATTAATATAGCAATGTCAGTTTTATTTCTCACTTCCAGTGTGACATCAAGCCAGTAAAACATAGTGAGGCTTTTAAAGAACCTGGTGTGCAAATACTGTGTCAGTTCAGGTTTGCATAGAAAGCCTCCTAAGTTTCAAATGGTGCTTATTATTTTACTGGGATAATTAAATACAAATAAAGAATGAAATATTAGAGGCTGAGTTTCAGTAGTGAAGAAAAGGCACTTAGCTGCCTACCACCACTTCCAATATGCAATGTAAACAGAAAATTTTGTCATCCTAATTGTGTTATCAGTAATTTCTGCTGCCATTTCAGGAAAAGGCTGTGGGTTCATGGTTTCTTGTATCTGAAGCTATAACCTCTAGTTGAGACTTCTAGGATCAAATAATAAGTGATCCACTAGTTGAAAAATACTAATTTTTGAATGATCTGTATTTACAAAAGACATCTGTACACTTTCAAGGTTTAGTGTTTTTAGAAGCACCTGAGAGAGTAAAAGATGTTAGTGCTTGCTCTTCAAGAGGAAGTCAGAAAAGTAGTCAAAAAATGTATGCAGAGAACTCTGTTATGAAAATGTGCTAGAATTCTATAAACCATTAAGGAAAATCAAGTTTCTATAGTGCTTGGATAGATGAATAATAGATACATAGTTGAAACTGAATTATAATCACAGAGAAAATGCAAAAAATAAATCGTGTTATGGTCGCATATTCAGGTAGTCTTGGTTTTTTGTTTTTTAAGTTTAGCAAAGTTGTAGTCGCTGCTGTTTTTATATTGCCATGTATAATTAAAAGAATAAAAGCCCTTGTTCTCTATCAGCATGCGATGATGTGCATAAACTAAACACATAGGTTTGAATTTGATCTGGACTTAAATAATTTGAAGGATTGTTATGATACATTTTTTATTTTAGTGTAATGTCCCTCTTTTTGTATCTTGATTATTTTATATATGTATATAAATTATTTATATTTTTGATGAGCAAATACAAAAGTAGATGGTAAAAAAATAAAGATTTTTTTGTTTTCATGGCCTCAAAAGAACTTAAGGAAGTGCATGGAATGATTAAAGTCTTATTAAGATGATTAGAGGGATGGAGTACCTTCCCCTTGGGAAAAGGTGGTGAGACCTGGGAGTGTTCAGCCTCGAGAAGCGAAGGCACCTGGGTCATCTTACTGCCTTTCAGTACCTGAGGGCACTTAAAGGTGAAGAGGGACTTTTGACAAGGGCATGTAGTGATAAGGCAAGGGGGAATGGCTTGAAACTAAGAGTAGGTTGTGTTTGGATATTAGGAAGATGTTCTTGACTGTGAAGGTGGTGAGGCATTGGAATAAGTTTCCCAGAGATGTGGATGTCCTATCTCTTGAAGTGCTGGAGCTCTGAACAACCTGGTCTAGTGGAAGGGGTTTAAAAATGTGCTCTAAATATGTTAGTAGTCTTAATTACTTGCTTGTGTAAACTGTCAGCTTCAGTTGTCATGTGGAGTGTTAATTCAGGGTTTTCAGAAAGACCTTTAGCTCCAGGGTCACCTGCCAGGTCAGTGGCATTAAGTGGCTTCTTTGTTTTACTAAAGTTTTGAAAGTGGCAGCTCTCAGGAAATTGTAACTGTTCTCTAGGCACTGTTGTTATTTTAAAATAAATCTTTGAAAAAACATCTTACATTTAATTGCTGTAAAAATACATATGTCCATGGTTATTAAGCAATATTCTTCTTAATTGTTTAAATACTTTAAATACTTTAAATGCTTTCTTGCCTTCAAATGGAAGCAAGCATACTTTCAAACTAGTGCTTTCAGGCTCTTAGGAGATTTGAAAAAAAAAATATTGTTATTGAATTTAGCAAAATCAAGTAATGTTTTCCAGATGGGAGCTCAGTTACACTTTAAGATTGCTGTACTTATTAGGCAATTGTGAACAATCTACAGGGTACATATATCAGCAAGTGGTAATTGTGCTTACAGCTCCAAGCTTAAAAACAGAGCGTATAAGCAGTGAGTGAATGAAAAGCTTTGCACCACAGATGCCCAGGTGTTGGCTGCAGTGTGGGGTGGCTGCAGTGTGGCTGTGGGGAGGGATGGCTGGGGCTCAGTGAGCCACATGTGGCCACTTACAGTGTGCTCCAAGCAGCCAGAGGGGTGGCACCTCTGGTAAAGCATGGTTCACAAAGGGTAAAAACAGTGTGCAGCCATTGGGAGGGAAAAAAAAAAACCAACATGAGAAACAGCCCTGCAGACACTAAGGTCGGTGCAGAAGGATGTGATACTCCATGGGACCATGCCAAAACCAGAAAAACCCAAACAGACAAAGGAGGAAACAACTCACCCTGCAAACCTCCCCCACCTCTCAAAAAAGCCCCAAACCTCAAACACCTCAAATCTGTGTGCTTGATGATGAGTGTAGCCCTTAGGTGATCACATAATCCAGCCACAAAAAGTTGTGTAAGAAGTGAGAAAACTTCCTTGCGCTCTTGAACACTGCTTTTGTTCCCTGGAGATGGAAGACTTCAGAAAATGAAATCTTATTTGTCCTAGTTTGCATTTACGTATCATATTTTATTGTACATGGAGGTTTCCTTTGGAAAACTGCTCTTGTGCAAGTGCAGAATTGGTCTGCAGCTTTTCTGTGTCATTTAGTTGTTTGCAGCCACAGTTTTAGTGTCCAGAATTTTGCCCTAGAACATGTCTGTTACCAGGCAATGTAGTGGTTTACTTGGTCTGCTCATTGTCTGTGGTGTTTGAGTCCGTGGTTCATTTTGAGATTTCGTTTAATATTTTGGTGTGCTTCCTATTCTTCAGGTCTGGGTTATGGTGTGGTATTATTTTGTCTTCCTTGAGAATGCTCTCCATTTAGTTTTTAATCATCTATTTTGAAAACTTTTAATTTAACTGTTTTAATTGCATTCCTTTAACTTGAACTCAAAACAGGTGGGTAAATCAAAATCTAAGCCTCATATTTTTTGAATAGGATTTAGCCAGGTGGAATTTACCAGCCTTACTCATCTTGAGACATTCACCCATTTGAGACTAGTTGAGAATGTTATATATGGCTTCAGTTACAGTGTCTAAAAAGACTTTATAATAAAATTACTGTGAACTCTGGTTTTAAATAATTATGCTAGTTGTGAGCCAGCCTACGCAGCTCCTAATGTTCCAGAAGGAAATGGGAAAATTTTTGTGTACTTTGTTCATTCAGGTCTTCTGTGTGCTTTCATTCCTTTTGAAAATTACCTGAAAATACATATAATATGCAGGCTCTTGTATGGAACAGAACATTAAGTTGTAAAGCACAATTTCTGTCCCTTCCCTTATTAAATGGGAAGGCGTGTAAACCAAACATTTGAGGAATTAAAGATTTTTAAAAAGAAGAAATTAGAATAAAATGCCAGTTACAGAGAACTAGAATACATTGTCTAAGAGAGTAGTGGAAGCAAAAACCTAAGACGGAGGAGTGGCACAAATTAAGTTCCTTTTTCTTTCCAGAACAGTGGTCTGATGTGGAGTAAGGAAGAAAAGACACCAAATCATGTGTCACAGTTTTGCTTATCAATTGGACTTCTTAACAAAGCCAGTTTTCTACTATTGTTCCTCTATGTCATTTAATGACTAGCTCACCTTTTGGAGGGCAAAAGTACAATAAAATGGAAAGATGAATAAGCAAGATTTGATGGAATTGCAGAATGAACCGGTTTCTTCAATGCAGGATAATCACCAACTCACATGTATTGTTCACCTTTTGTGGGAAATGTTATCTGTTTCTTTCACATTAATGTTTTATAAGGGATGCTTTAAAACTCTGTGCTTGATTCCTTGGCTTACAACACTTGGAAAATTTACAGGTTTTCTGATTTTTTTAAATAGGTTGAATCTACACAAAGCATGATTAGGATTTTGGGCCTTTCAGCTACATTACCCAATTATCTTGATGTTGCTACATTTCTACATGTCAATCCCTACATTGGATTATTCTACTTTGATGGCCGTTTCCGACCTGTACCTCTGGGACAAACCTTCATAGGGATCAAGACAACCAATAAGGTAAGGAATTGTGAAGAAAGGGTTGCTGTTTGTGGTCTCTCTTTGATCATGCTTCACGCATGTATGTGTATGGGCCACTTGTTTATTTTACTACATATTTTCTTTTGTATAAAGATATACATAATTGAGAGGTGCTTTAAGAATCTTCTTTCTTCAGTTTGCCATATTTGCAAGCAGGCCTTGTTGCAGTTGTATAGAAAGTTATTTAACTTTGCATTACCTCTTCTTCACTTGCTAAATTTTGCTTGGTGAAGAAGAAATTTTGCTTGGTGAAGAAGAGAAATCATCACCTTCAACTGCAGAGTCACATTAGCAGCTGATTATTCTGCCTCTTTCATTTCAGGTTTCCATGTGATGCATCTTGTTTGGCTGTAAGGGTCGTGAGGAGTGCTATTAGAAAAATAATAATTTTTTTAATCGAGATATATATATATATATATATATATATATGTAAATTTGTAAACACAACATGCATTAATACTAAAGTTACTGATGACAACCTTATCATGCTAAGCCATTAATTATCATATGTACATACTTGATAGAAACTGTATTTAAAGTAATCCCTAAATAAGCTTCTTTACTCTTTGTGCTATTGCCCATTTCGGGAAGCATTAAGACAATCGTCAGGTATAATATTCTTATTAAAAATCGTTAGTGCAGTGACACTTGACGTGTAAATTGTAGTTCTTTAAATACAGACACTTTATGCAAACACTTTACATAGATTTCCCATGCTTCTCATTATCTTATAATTAAAGTTTATGTAGTTAAACTTTTCAAAAAATATTGTTCACATGTGATTTAAATTAATAGAAATCAAGACATTTTCAATCAAAAGTTAATTTCGTGGCTTAATCAATCATAGCATTTTATTTAGTTTTTGTAAAAATGGACATTGCCTTTCTTACTAGGTTATTTCAGTAGTCATTCCATCTGCAGTGCAGGAGAGGAATTTATTTTACAACTGTGGGGATATGTTTCAAATCTATATGCATAAGACTAATTTACCATATGGTGCTTACCATTATTTGCATATTTTAGTCTTCATTAATTGCTTTTAATACCTTCGCTCTTACTTGCTGTTACTTTCAATTCATCTTTCACTGCTACTTGATTCTAATATTTAGTTTATCTTCGCTATATAGTAAGAAAAGAGAAAATACTCCTTTTCTTCCAACTCACTTTAGAATGCATCTAGGATTCAAAAAATCAAAAATATAAATAAATCTTCTAAAATTTGAAATTATTAAAAACCAGTAATTTTCCAAAGAAGCATAAAGAGATGAGGAAATATTAGGAGGTAGTAGTTATTCTGAAATGTAAATACCTGGCAGACTGTTTTGATAATACCACAGCCAGGGGATCTTCTTTTATTTTTCAGAAGATTGTCATTACAATTTCACAGACCAAAATATATTTTACAATGAAGATAATACACTTTACAGCAAGCAGACAGTAGAAGTATTAAGCCTCTTTGAAAAAGGATTGTATTCAGGATAATACTAATACTAAAGCTGCCTAATTATTGCCAATATCAACATCCTTGTGGTCTTCATGAGAGGAGGAAAGCAATGTAAGGAAGTCCAGGATCAAAAGCTGTTGTTGCAGACCATCAGCAAGTGCAGTCAGTGCTGTGTCCAGAGGCACTAATCAGTTGCAAGGAGGTAGAAGACTCACTTTTACTTACTTTAGGTAAAGGCTTTGCCACAGTTTGCTGAAATCCTGCATCCAAAAAAAAAGACTCCCCCAAATTTTGGAGCTGATTATCAATTTACAGAGCCACGTGCAAACTGTAGGCAAGCTTTCAAAGGCAAGGACAGCCTGATGTATTTATTATGCATAGAAGTTATCCAGAAAAGCTCTTAAAACTCTCTGTGTTGAAATTCTTGGAGCATATGGCACCAAGACTAAGGTTTGACTTCTTCAGTCAAGGTCTGTTAATGTCAGATATTTTTCTTTAATATCAGCCTTCTTTCTTCAGGCATGTTTATGTTTTTGTCTTTAGGTATAAATGCAAATAATAGGTAAAGTTAATTTTATAGTATGTGTATGTATGTATATATGTTCATGTGTCTTCATGCACTGCTCTTGTCAGTTTCTCCTTAATGATTTTCACTTGCTGTTACATGAAAAAACATACTTGGTAAAATGCTGACTTCTCAATTTAAGAATGATTAGACGGAGTACTTGTCTTCAGTACACATGCCCATATTTTCTCATCTTTTTATTACTATATTTGTACAATTTGGAAGACAAATGGTCTCTTACCTATAAAGCTATTTTAAAGCTTTGTTTTTCAACTTTCATCTATTCTAATATTAAGTCCAAGTATTAAATTCCCATTTTGAAATATGTACCTGCTTTGCTTATGTAGAACATTTCTTGTGCCAAACCAATTTGGTTGTAAGACACAAATGCAAAAATGAAGAATGGAATTATTGCTATGATATTGGAGTTTATTTATTTATTTTGATTTGTCACAATGTTAATACTGAGGTGCATTCAAGTGGATTTATGCTATTTATATTTTAATACATTTTAGAAATAGAAAAAAAATCTTTAGAGTAGGTTGAAGAATACTCTTTATTTTGACTGGAATCTTTCTTAAACATTTTATTTATCTGTAATTGGAAGCTGTCTACATGGTACTCACAATGGTGTCTTTGCATGACCCAACCATGAAGAAATCTCATATGGCAAAAAAACTATCAGTAATTTCCTGGAGATAAAAACATACATATGTATGCAATGGAAAAACTATTTTTATATGCCAAATAGTAACCCTTAATTCTAGATAAGGTATATTAAATTGATATTTCCTCAAAATCTTGTAGAAGTAAGGTTGCTTAATATGAAACAGATAAATTAAAGAGCTGGGTTACTTCTCTTTGGTCATTAAAAAAACACTAGCAAAGTCACTTTATAAATTTGTATTAACTGCCCTTACTCATACTTTATCTATGTATTTTCATGTTTTATTTCTGAGTTTAAAAGCAAAATGCTGTTGTTGGCATGGGAATTGATATACTGTAAATTTAATTGCATAATCAAATTTATCTTTCACAGATCACTCTAAACTGCTTGATACATACTAGATAATCTGTAAAGATATAAATTATTTTAATATGGATGTGATGTTTCTTTTTCAGGTGCAGCAGCTGAATCACATGGATGAAGTATGTTATGAAAGTGTGCTGAAGCAAATAATGGCTGGACACCAGGTACCTGTCTTTTAGTTTACTTTCCATTCAGAACATATGTAAAAAAGTTAAATCATCACAGTGACGTACTGAGAATTATTCTTTTATAATATGTCACTTCAGAGGTAGCCTCTAACCCTACAAACACTTCATAGAATCAGCATGCAAAAAAATGTAAACTGACTAAATAGGGTTAGCTTCTAACAGAGGTCAAAATTCCCAGTTCTTTATATATCTGTAAAGTAATTATTGTGTATTTATGTCTCTTTTTTAAAAATTCCAAGGCAATTTAGGTCACTACTTTAGAGACCTTACAACAGGTACATGTAAAGATTAAAAAATCAAAAATGAAGCCCTTAATAATTCTTCTTAGCTCTTCCTATATCTTTCAAATTCTTGTCTTTTGTGTTAGAGATGAGAGATGAGAATTACTCAGTGTTCAAGACCTGGTTGTAAGGGCTCAGCATAAGTCATTTGAAATATCCTGGGGTTCGTGTTTTGTTTTCTTTTTAAAGGAAGTAATCCTTCATTTTGCTTTACAATGGAGGTTTCTACAGTGAATTTTCAAGTCTGACATTCCCCTCAACTAAGAATACAACTAAGAATATGGGCCTAATTCATTTGCCTGATTAGTTTCTCATTCTGTTATGATTGTGGTCCTGAATTACTCCCACACAATGTCTCATTTTTGTTAGAACTTTGCACGTAAAGCAGGTATGGCACCTCTTCAAAGCAAGAACAAATGCTAGTGCTCTATGATGCTTGAAGGGCCTTTCAGTAAATAACATTTATATAAAAGAGGGAAACTCTGTCCTCTACAGTTGCACTAAGAAGTGCACATTTTTTGCTTTTTACAAAAAAATTTATTGTGTTTTTTAAAGGTGAACAGTTAGTTTATGACTAGGGAAGGGAAAAAATACTTAAGCAACAGCTTCCTAGTCCTCCTGCCCCACTGCCTTGCTTTAACTCTATTCTTCCACTTATCTTCTCTTGTTGATATCAGTTATTGTTGTTACATTCAGAAAACTTTCATGAAGACTACTTATGGAAATATTGTTATTTTCCTGAGTGAAGACTGTTAATTAAATTTTTTAGCAGCACCAAGGGAACTTTTGTTCGGGTTCTCCTCATTGTCGATTATGCAAAAACATTACCAAATTCCTTACACTGAAGTGCATTCATTTTCTTATCTTTCATTTCTTGTTTTGATTTTGTTTATTTTCACTTGCTGAAGTGCAAGTGGCAGAGTCTTTAAATCAGTTGTATCTAAGTACTGTAGCTTGGATTCCCAGCAGGGAGTCTGTGGGCTGCTTTGGCATATTTACTGCACCTTTCTTCCCCTCTCTTTTCTTCATACGGAGGAAAAAAGTGACTGCAAACATATATGATATTATTTGAAAAGATTCAAATACAGTAAGTTGTTCAATTCTAGTGGGAGATGTTTTTGTAGCTTTTCTTGAGAATAGTTTTGATTTTTGTGCTAGCAGCTGAATGCATGAGTGCTTTGTTTTAAGGCATGAGCTGCAGTTTGAAGAGGTGAAGAGAACTGTAGTCTACTTAATGTTACAGTTTCAGTAAAGGACACTGTTGCTGATCTCAATTTCTGAAAATTGTGTTTCAAACCAACAACCATATAAGTGTAATTTTGGACAAAGCAGAAGTGTGGTTTCTCTTGCTATATAAATGCTGATTTGATTTAAGAACACTGGTTAATTTGATTCATATGGTTGTAAATTTTCTGTGTTTGCAAGTGTTCATTCTGCTGTGTTGCAGAACTCTCATTTAGAGCATGGAAATAGCAGCCAGTTACACTGGACTTTTCTTGGGACTCTTTAATTCATATTGGTCTTGATATTTATTAAACAAAATATCATAACCTGAGATTAATTATATACAAGTGCCAGTATACAGGCTTTGACCATGCAGAATCAAGCACATCAGCTCATTGTCTAATTATAATATGTAGTACTGTACCAGATGAAAAATTCAGGTTTTCCATTTAATGAGTCTGCTATGACAAATGATTCATCTAATCACTAGACCAACTGCAGATGTTTAAAAAGTGGAAAGAAAAAAAAAGGTCATGTGGATATATTTACATTGAGATGCCTACCCCATAGTGGAAGATGAATATTGTGAGCAAATATGATTAATACTGCTCTAGAAAGGTTTTCTTTAATGTCTTTTCACTATTTTGAGTATGCCCTTTGATTTTCTAGCTTTCAAGAAACCCATCACCTTGTGTCCACGTTCGCCATAGGCTGTTATCATCATGCTCTGTTACCTTTCTTAGCTTATGTTATCTGAAAAACTTGTATTTATTAACATTACATATGTGCAAACTTCATATACTTTTTAACAAAACTGTGGTTGCTTCTAAATACATTTCTTAAAAAGATGTTTTCATCTCTTCTCCCCAGATACTTAAGAAAAAATTTCCATAGGTGTTGCGTATCTGTATGACATTCAGAACACAGTTGAGATTTTATACCTATTCAGGCAATAATGTATGACAGACACAGATCTCATTAACAATGCTCCAGAGAGCCTAAAACTTCTGTTTCATGCTGAAATGCAAGAAAGAAATACCAGAACCAGAGAAAAGCACTTTACCTCACTAAAGTTGCTTGAGTTAATATAGATCTTCCTATGGCCATCAAGTTTTCACCATGTTGTGTCTTTTAAGATTCTTGACCAGAGTCTTTGAAATGTCTTAATGAATTAAATTCAGCATTGTTTGTCTATTGTTCTGTTCATTCTCAAAGAATTCTACCATGGCAGAACTAAATAATTTACTCTTATGGAATTCATGCTGATATGTCACTGTCATATTGTAGGTTGCAGTGTGATGTTTGGCTAGAGTTACATGTCCATGTGTTTTTATTAGATATATGTGTATTTTCATTTTTTAAGGCTGAGGTTGGTAGGAGTAGTTGCATTCTATAGGCATGTGTTTTGACAGATGGAGAGAAGCTTTTTATGTTGATTTTTCAACATTCATCCTCTGCAAGACTTCCAGCTCTTCCTGGCTACTGGGAAATTAAGAATTGGTGATTCAGTCTTTAATTTTGATCCATCTGCTCAAACTAATGAGATATCTCATTTGTAGGCTTCACTTTGAATTACCAAATGCAACTGAAACAATAACATTTGTCTTATAGCACAATTCCCCTCTTGTTTAAATTGAGGAAGTTTGATAAATGGCTTGCCCTACTGACTTTTCTGGGGTTTTTGTTACAGAAACTTCCTGTTGTGACTAAAAAAGATCAGAAAATGTCCCAAAGGTTTCCAAGTACTTTTCAAATCAGTGTGCTCATTTGGAAGGATTGCTAACAATATGGAAATCTGTTGGAAGTTTTCTTTGGCAGATCCTACCTCCTAAGACAGCTTTAAGTGAGACCTCTGGTGCTGTTAAGTCTGCTTTTCTGGGGCTGTCCTTCCATGGTTGATATTAGTTGGTGAATATTTTTTTTCATGTCATACTTTAAATTTGCTACGTTCTGATATAATCTAAAAAGATGTCAGATCTTCCTGGACTGATTTACACTGTCAGAGTTTTATTTCTACCGCTTAATAAACCAAAGATACTTTAAATTAAGAAAAAAAAAATGTGTGCCCTTTTTCAGAAAATATGACTCCATGCTCAGTTGCAGGTGGAGTACTTTTCCAGCATTGCTCTTCCAGGATGCTCTTCACTTAAATCTAGGTCAAGGCTAGGTGACTGAAAATTATCATTCCTCAGTGTTATTACAGCTGTATTTTTTTCAGATAGTCACCAGTAGTGGGCCACATCAACCAAAAGAATTATTTCAGCTATAAAGCTGAAAAAAATTCACATTTTACAGCCCTGTGAGAAGGGCATCTAATGGCAACAAGTTCAGGGGTGCAAGTAGCACTTTTCTCAGACGGCCTGTGGAGAATCTCACGAGATCAGCAAAGGCAGTGACTGAAGACTGCACATGCCAGCATAATTTCTATAATTAACTGAAACATTGCATTACTGCCAGGTGTGTGTTGACACAGGCAGGCGGCCAGAACAATCACAAACCCAGGCTGAAATGGGAAGAGTTAATTTTTTTCATTATCTCGCTAACTGGAGGACCCTGAGGCAGCACCTGTGCAGCAGAGACACAGGAGGGGCAGCACAGGCACTGCCAGGCTCAGCCCTTCTGATGGGCAGTGGGGCTGCTGTTTGCACCCATTTCCCACTTATTGTACCACCCTGCTGTGCTCTTCGTGCGCTTTTCATGATTTCTGAGCTTTGATCTCTCTCAGGACAGCAGTCTCAGGCTTGTCCATGAGAGTGCGTCCAAGTCTATGTGGACACCTATGTTATCTCAACACAGATATTCTACTTCTCGAGCCAGAGGATGAACAACAGTAGACAAAATATATGAGATTTCCCATACTGTTAATCTGCAGGCCTAGGCAATCCCAGCTGCAAGGTCACTTGAGTGAATCTACCATCCTCCTCACCATTCTTCTGCTTTCAGTCTTTTCCTTCCAATAACAGTTTAGGACAATGCATATCATACTGTATTTATCAACAATTTATGACAATAACACGACACCCATGTCATGTTATGATTTGAGAAATTTTTAGGAGTTGTGAGAAATAACATAGTATGTTTGAGATTGTGGGTATTCCTCTAAAATATGTCATGTAAATTTTGATTTCATTTCAATGTTAAATTCCTTTATCTAATATATTGAACTGCTGCTCTCTTTGTCAAGGTTCAGTTGTTTAAGTTGTTTAAGTTAGTATCCTAGGCAGTTAACTATTTTTCACTTTGACTCATAAATTCACATCCATTATGTCTCCTGCTGTTACAGAGCTTTTGCTGGTTTATCTCATTACCTTGATTACCAGGAGACGATCTCACATTTCTCCCATTGCCCCCATCACCTCTTAAATATTTTTGCTGTTATGAGTTTGTCAGAACCTTACTCTTTGCTATCTTTTCTTTTTTTCTTTCTTTTTTTTTGGTCTGAAATTCTTTCAAGCAAAAAATCCCATAAAT